AATGGGGTTTCACACTAGCTTTCCTTACTTACGAAAATTGTACCATTGTTTATTTAGAAATAAAAGTATATTTCTTTAAGTGTGAAACTGTCAACGTTGCAAAATACGCCAAGTCTATTATCTCAGCACTAAATATAAAGTTCTAGGCTTTTTTATAATCATAGTGATATTTGGGGCCATCTATATACAAATATGTAGGGTCTACGTGGTTCATTACGTTTATTGATGATCACACTAGAGTAGTTGGGTATACTTGATGAAAACAAGTTTGAAGCAGTGTCAATTGTTCAAAAATTTCATTCAATGGTTGAAACCAGTCTCGGAAAAGCTAGTTTTACGGCTGATAATGGTAAGGAATATTTCACTTATCTTAGGAAACCACCTGTTCATCACAAATTGTACATCAAAGCTCTTGTGTACCCCTCAACAAAATGGATAGCTGAAAGAAGAACACCCTATTGAGGTAGCTAGAGTCTTAATGTTTACCAGAATGTAGCCTAAGTATTTTTGGAGTCACTCAATTTTAACGGCTGCATAATTGAAAAAGCCTTACGCACTAGAATTCTGGGTTTTTCTAACCCTCTGGGGACTTTGCTAAAGATCTTTCCTAGTTGTAGGCATCCGAATACTTTACCCTTAAGGTGTTTGGATAATTGCTTTGTAATGTATGTCTCTAATAGATGAAAGTTAGACTGCTAGGGCCATTAAATGTATCTCTTCCTTGGGATATCTCCACATAGAAAAAGACTATATGTCTATTTGTCCTGTAAACGAGAACAATATATGTTCTAGTGATGTTTGCTTTTTTTAGGTCACATCCATCCTTTTCTCCATTTCCCTTTAAAGGAGAATTGAGGATTATAAAGGTCACGTGGAAAGTAGTGTACCCCTTACCATTGGAGTCAGTCTCAGACTCTCAAGAGCTTCCGGTAGTCGTAGGTCAAAGTTCAAGTCACCGATAGTTTCCTATAGTAGCCGTAGTCCTATAAGAATGAGTCAGTCTCCTAGTAGCCTAGTTTCAGGTTAGGTTCCTATAGTCACCTAGTCCCATAAGGATGAGTCAGTCTCTAGTCAGCCAACCAATTAGGTCTACCCTAACATATAGCCACTCTTGATAAACCAAACTCTCAGGAAATATTGAACTAGGGGATGTTTGGAGAGATAATCAGCAGGTCTCCAATGTTATTCTCAAGAATTGACTATCAAAGTGGAAGGAAACCTAATGATCTTCATGAGCAATCACCTACCTGGAAGAAACAGTGATTCGCAGTCACAAGTGTAGAGAGAAACTATCTTCTGATGAGTCTATATCAGGCATGACTTTCCATTTACCTATTGCACTAAGAGGGGTGTTAGATCTGTACATTACATGCCTATTGCTAAGTATGTTGTCATACGATAAGTTGGCGATGATTTTTTGCATTCACCACTAATCTATAGTTGTGAGGTTCCAACACGACCGTACACTGAGGCATTAGGGGATGAAAAGTGGAGGAAGACCGTGATAGAGCGAGATGGAGGCTCTGAGAGAAAACAAGACTTGGAAGCTAGTGAGTTTACCTAAAGGGAAAACAACTGTTAGATGCAAGTGGGTGTTTCATTAAGTATAGGCAGATGGAACAGTGTGAATGAAGGCAAGGCTGGCGGCAGGGGATTTACGTTAAACCTACAGGAGTAGACTATGAGGTGACCTTTGCTGTGCTAAGTGAACACGTATCAGGGTGCTCATCTCTTGCACAAATTAAACTGCTCTATCGCAATAATTGTGAAAAACGCATTTTTTATGGTGAACTTGCAAAAGAGATATACATGGAAATGCCACTGGGTTGAAGGGAGTGGAAAGGACGGAAAAGTGTGCCAAATTGAGAAATCATTTATGGCCTAAAACAGTCTCCAGGCCTGGTTTTGAAAAATTCACAAAGGCGTTAAAGTATGGTTTTACTCGGGCAGACTGATCATTGACATTTCCTTTAACACCTGTTAGTGTAGATTACTATTAATTGTTTATGTAACGATATTATTATACTGGAGAATAGTTTTGAAAATGGAGGCTTTTAAGAAGTTCTTGCTCAGGATTTTGAATTGAAAAACATGAGGCATTGAGGTATTTTCTTGGTATAGAGATTGTATGGAGGGTACAAAGGAATTTCAGTTTCACAAAGAAAATATGTGTTGGATTTACTGAAGGATATAGTGTACTAGTTGCAAACCGTTGAGACTCCCATGGAAGCCAAATCTGAAATTTGAGAAAATAGTTGTGATGCTCTGATGATAAGTAGGTTAATCAAGGCTGGTTAGGAGTTGATATATCTATCTCATACTAGTCTGACATAGCCTTTTTTCGTAGTGTAGTGGAGCCATATGCATAACCACAAGAGAAGCATTTTGACGCTGTGAGTAGGATTCTAAGGTCTTAAAATGACCCTTGGGAAGGGGCAATTTTTGGGTACAAGAATGAAAGGTGAAAGTAAAGCTTATAGATCGACGGGCCGATTCTGGGGTGATAGAAGATCGACTAGGTTTTGCACCTTGTTGGGGAAATTTAGTAACCTAGAGGAAGTAGAAGTAGAACGTGGTAGCTAGAAATAGTGCTGAGGGCTGAGTTTCGTGCGAATGCTCTGGGATTTGTACTAATATGGCTAAGAAGAATCTCGGTAGAGCTTGAAATCAAAAGTACGAAAGCCTATAGGTTGTACTGTGACAGACCAGGGTGCGATTGACATAGCACACAATCCAGTGCATCATGATAGGACAAGCACGTTGAAATAGATAGAATTTCATCAAAAAAGATAGAAGATAAGGTATTGTGTGTTACTACTTGCCTACAAGTCCAAAACTATATTCTTAAAAAAGGAACTGCCTGACTTTTTTGTTCATCTTTTCAAGCGGAGATGAACAATATCTATTCCTATCAACGGCTGAGTAGGGAGTAGAGATTTCTTTTAGATTAGACATATGATCATTTAAGAGTTATTCTAAGTCTTATCTAGTTTAAGAGATTGATAATAAAAAGATCTCAGGATTTGTTTTCTCTCTGATTTCAATGTTTTATCCTCTACTATGAAATTTGGGCCAGTTTTGTTTGTTTAATTCAAAATAATTTTGAAGAAAAGAAAACTAGTTACAATTAAAATTTTACAGTTTATCTCAATTTAGTATTTGAAAAATATTTTGTATTTTTAAATCTCTTCATGAATCATGGGCCTAGTTTTGGTTTAGTGATTTAAACAATACTTTCCAAAAACTAAGTTATAATGAATTTTTAAAAGCTTATCTCTATTTTACATATTTGAAAATATCTAGTCTGGAATTTATTGGTTTTAAGTACAAAGATATAAAGAACGGAGAAATATTTTCTTTCTTGTTTTCTACTTTTACACTAATTTTTTTAGGATTATATGCAAAAACATTGTTTTTCAAAACATTTAACTTATTTTAATAAAAATCTTTATATTCCTTGTCTTCGAAAATAAAACACTATTTAAAATTTATAACAAATAGGCTCTTATTTAGATTATAAACTTTTATATGTATTTATGTTATATTTATGGTTGTGATTGTGGCTGTTCAGCTCACGAGATTGTGTTAAATTTTAAGTATGGTTTTTGAACGCTTAACTATCAATTTAAGCTTTTAAGTCAAGTTGTTACGTAACATTGTTAAAGATGTTGTTAAATTATGATACATCTACCTGGAATTTATTGAATGTATGCAATCCTTGCTATTTTAACTCGATGTGTAAAGATGTTTGTCTTTGTTCCCTTTCTCAGATTACACCCCACTTGGAAGAGCTACAACTATTTAGGTTATAGCAAGAAGCCAAATCTGTTCTTGAACTAATAGATCAGAGAGACAAGTACATAAGAAAAGTGTTAGTGGAAAGAGTAAAATAGATTCAAACATGACTGACGAGTAGTCTCCAACTAAGCGGCAGAAAAATATTGCCCAAAACCCAAAGAAAGTGCATGGGAAAGAAAAGAGATGAGCACAGAACTTAGTTGAAGAAAACGAAGTAGAAGAAGCAAAACCCGAGTTTGAAGAGCATCCAAATGACCAGCACATCAAAGACTCCGCCACTGGAAGAGCCAAAGTATACACTGACGAGTGTATTGCATTTTTATCAAACCTTATTTAATGCTATCCACTAGACCTTCCATGTGCACATCAGTCTTACAGTCAAATCCTTATTTAACATTGCCTGACCTTTAAACTTCAACATATGTATGCATAATGTGGACAGTACCACATAAATTAGCCCTAATTTTAATGCTTCAGGGAGATTAGCATGGCTGAAGCTTGGTGTCCCCTCGACAAATCCAAAAGTCAGGGAAGTGGAAGATGAGAAGCTGAAGTCAAATAATGAGTTCAGAGAAATCTTCTTTAAGAAGTGAGGTTTGTTCCTGGGGTTACATGTTACATGTTAACTAGAATAGCATAGTAATTGACAAACTTCTCTTTCTTATAAAAAACATAAGGTTTTGCCTTAATATGTTTCTGTAAACACACTTATGACAAAAGATACCTGTTTGAGGACGAAAAATATATATGCTGTTGAGATCAATCTATATCAGTACCCTTCTTGTAAATTTTCTTCCAGATATGTCAAAGTTATACCCATTTTATTCAAAAGGGTAAAGTTCTAATATGTTTCTTGTGGAACATATATTTCATACAATTTGTGATGAGGATCGCCTCAATACCTTACCCCAAGATTCAAAGAAATTTTAGCCAATTAGATGGGGATCAAGTTCCTTTTTATGTGACAAATGACCAATGGCATAGGATCCAACAAGATCATGAAAACTATTATGGGTTGGTGGTCTATTCTTGGTCTAAAATAACATTGAATACTCACAGTGCAACTATTAGGTTCTTTGCTTTTCTGTACCTATTGATTCTATTCTAGCGGAGAATCCATTTTACTATTTGTCATAGATGAAAATCCTAATGCAGAAAGATGGACCACTAGAGCACTATAGAGTTTGTGTACTGAAACAGCAATGGCCTTGCATCTCATGCTTGTGGAAAATGTGAAAAAATGTCTTTGGTCTGGAAAATGTCTGAGGAAGAATATGAAGAATATCATCTGTATGCTCACTTGATTAAAATTTTCGGACGCATATAGTCATTTTTATTGTCTGTTTTGAATGAATATCCATATCTCATATGATTATGTTTGTTTCACTTAGACTCTTCATGATTCTATTGGATGCTTTCATAAAATTTCTCGTAGAATCGAGAATGAGGTTTTCGCTTTGTACATGTTAGATCATAGATTAGTACCAATCTTCAAAAAAGATCTAATTGTTTCACTTTCTATTTTCGGAATGGAATATTTACATAATCCCCATGAATAGGATTAAACGTTGTTCCATGGTATTTGTATGATATTCCTTCTTAATTTTAAGTGGGTACTTTAGAGGGTTTAAGTGATCTATGAATTATGTTTCATTTTTCGTTTCTTTTATGTACTAAGTCACTAAGTGCGAGATTCCCCCCGACGACCATTATTAACTTGTTCCCCCATGTCGCCTCCTAGAATCAGCTTGTCTTCTAACTTCACGCCCATGAGTCTCATATTTGGAATTTGCTAACCCCTTTCTCATATTTGGAAGGGGTATTTATACAAGTTTACACCAAAGGAAGTAGAGAGAAATCCGGGATTGCCATAAGACTTGGCAAGCGATTTCCTGATTTTAGCATTTGCGCGTTGGGATCGCGCAGATATTGATTCATTCTTATCCCTCCCGAGATGTTCGAGATAAGGCTTATCCCTTAGTTTGTCGAACAGTTGTACTAGATGGCAGCAATGAGGTTATGCTGAGTCAGACTTCAAGATTCCATGACCTTGAGATCACGTCGATCTATTAATTTTGGGCCGAGACCTTCGAGCTTACGACAAAAATCACACACAACAGATATTAAAGTAGAGGTCATGATTTGAATCTCCCACGTATTACATCCTGCTGTATTTGGGTTGGTCTTTCTGTATGAATTTGGGCTTGGTTTATGTAACACGTGAAGATGCCTCTTACAGAGCTTAATACCTTTTCTAGCTTAAGCTTAAGCTTTTAATACAAGTAATCAGTTTATGCATGCTTAAAGTTAAATGTTTTGCACTTAAATAATATTTTTATAAAGGAGATTAAATTAATATTAATCATTTTGATTAAGCATTATTGAAGTTATAAAAGTAGTTGTGTCCTGATTGACGTAAGAAAATTTTAATCAATAAGCAAACATTGATTATAAATTTTTAACATTAAAATTCATGGATTCCCTTGAAATTAACTTGGCTTCTATGAGCATCATGATTAAACATTATTAAAATTATCTCATAAAATTTGTGGTTCTGTCAGCCCGTGGCCCCACACAAGAGTTCCTCGCGGTGCCCACACAGGTACGTGACTCACTAGGTACTGTCCCCCCCTTAAGGGATTTCTTCGCCTCCCCCATGGCTCGAACTCATGCCCAAGGGGCTATAGGCAAATGGGAAGCACCATGAGTACCATCAGGCTAAGAAATCCCTTAAGGTGGGGACAGTACCTAGTGAGTCACGTACCTGTGTGGGCACCGCGAGGAATCCTGTGTGGGGTAGCGGGCGTGACAATAAAAAGGCGTTCATAGGATTAAGATGGAAAATTTAATCAATAAACAATAAAAGAATGTTAAATAAATACATAATGATCCATCCACTACCATTGAATAAGAGAAATTAATTGAAAGAATTAGCATGTCAAAACATTGAGAGAAAAGTTCAAGATTCTATCTCATATTTCATTAATTCTCTCGCAGAATATGATTTATTTAAATCTTATAATTGTAAATTAAAAAAAATTATATATCATTGTAAATTAAATACAAAGTTCAATAGCATGATTTATTTAAATCTTATAATTTTATTAAAAAAAAGGTAAAATTGAATACTTATATAAATTGGTTTGTTTGATCAACTGGATAATTTTGGATTTAATAGAAAACCACTTCAAACCAAAAAACACTTGAACATGGATTTACATTTTTAACCTTCAAGATGCTAAGTGAACAATTTTCAAAATCATAAAGGTGGTTTGAATAGGAAAGATCGATACTTGACATAAGTTTGCAATTTTGAAAACTTTAAAGGTTGTTTGTGAAATTTGTCAAAACATTTCTCTGTAATGCATTTTTCTTTTGCAATGACCTTACTTCAGAAAAAATGACCCACAAAAATAGTCTTCTTACATGGCTTTGAGATTCAAATTCCCATTTCGTTCGTCTTCAGTCTCTCAAAACCCATCTTCGAAAGTTAATGTTTTATTTTTGTTAGCTCACTTACACAACCTCACATCTTTAAGCTCCAAAAATGAAGTTTCGTATTCTTTTCAACACCCCTTGAAGATCCTCACTTGCTAAATTCCTCGAAGAAAATTGTGATCAGGTAGCTTTACTGATGAAGCATTGTACTTTTTTATTACATGATTATTCGAAACCCTTCATTTCATCATTCACTACTTTGTTTAGTCATAGTCAAAGAAGAAGCATTATATGAAGTGATTTCCTTATAAGCTGTTGAATTCAACTGGGTTGTCCTAAGTTTATTCTTTGAATATTTTGATGAATTGCTTGCGTAATATTGAAAGGGTTCTGATGGTTATGCGGTTTTTGGGGCGATTTTGAAGTGGGTTTTAGCCCAAATACCGTGACATTTAATTGTTTGATTAGGTCTGTGTGAGAGAGAAAGATATGGAATCAATGGAATTGTTTAAGAAAATGATTGTGTGGTTGTAGGGCTATGTGATCACTTGCACACACTTTGATTGGTGGATTATGTAACACAGAGGAAGGATACGTGTTGCCATTAAGGTTCATGAAGAGATGGTTAATGGGAGTATAGAATTTGGTGTTATTTGTAGGCCAAATGTTGTTACTTATAATACTATAATTGATGGTCTTTGTAAGGCTGGATTGGTTGAGAAGGCTAGACAACTATTTTTGGAACATATGATTTAGAGGGTGTAGTTCCTAACATTTATACCTACAACTTTTTAATAAACGGTTATTGCTTGGCAGATAAAATTGGTGATGCAAGGGAGTTGTTTGATTCTATAGCTAGAAAGGGGTATAGACCTGATGTTGTTTGCTACACTACTTTAATCAATTGTTATTGCAAGAATAAAGAAGTCAATGAAGCTCTTAGTCTTTATCGGGAGATGATTTCAAAAGGAATTAGGCCTAATGTGATTACATATACCACCTTGTTAACTGGCTTTTTTCTTATAGCTAAGGTGAAAGATGCACAGAATTTAGTTGGTGAGATGCGACTTAACAATGTTTTCCCTGATTCCTGGACATATAACATTTTCATTGATGGACTTTGCAAGAATGGGTGCGTTTTGGAAGTATTGGAAATGTTTAATGCTCTAGTGATTAATAAGTTTGCAGTTGGCATTGAAGGTTTGAGTTCCCTCATTGACGGATTATGTAAAACAGGGAGATTCGAAACTGCTTGGGACCTATTTCAGAAATTTTCTCTTCATGGAAACCTGGTGCCAGATGTTGTAACATATAGCATTTTGATCAATGGGCTGTGTAAAAATGGACAACTAGAAATGGCAAATGAGTTGTTGTCATATATGGAGGAAAAAGGTTGTGCTCCAAACGTAGTCACATTTAATACGCTTATGTTTGGTTTCCTCAGGAATAATGAGATACCAAAAGTTGTTGAACTCCTTCATAAGATGGCGGAGAAAAATGTGAAGCCGACCAAATGTACAATGTCCTTAGTCATGCAGTTACTAATGAAGGCTAAAAATTATAGTGAATGTTTGAACAAGCTTCCTCAATTTCCGGTCCAAAAGCGAAATTGAAGTTTACTGGATAAAACTTTAGTGATTATTAAACTTTTTTTCAGAGCAGAATCTTGCAAAAGTTCATCCAGCTGCCCAAATGCTCTATATTGGTTACTGTAAGCAGAAGGTTCAGTAAACATTTTTATCTGTTCGAATTTGATAGGGATGGTGATAGGATGATTGAGAATGATAGTTTTTCGGATCAGACATACGATACGTGATCTGTCTCTGTTGTAAGTAGATATATTGGAGGTGGCAGCATTGCAGGTTTCGTTTGGATTTGCACTTGTTGTAGATCTTAAGGGTTTGAGGATTATTTTTGGTGTAAATTTCAGTAAGCAAAAGTTGTATATGAGGAATTTTGGATTGGTTCTTACTTCAACTACGACAATAATGGTAGCCGCTCAAGTTCATCTATTCAAGCTAATTAGTTTACTGGACAATGGTATGTTGCAACTGATTAACTTCATTCATTGATATTCTCAATTATCCAGGCCTGATAAATCTTGATTTATTTATAGTGTTTCACATGTTTCTGTTTCTCAATATATATTCTTTTTTAGTTCAGATCTGATAAGATTAGAACTTACCAGGTGTGTCTCTAATGTAGTTATGCACGAGCATGTGCTCTTTCAGCTATAGTTGATGAAGACAAAGCAAAAAGAGCATTAGAGAAGGTTTTTCACTAGAATATCTTAAAGAATATGGATGCAGAACAGGGCCGGTCAATGGGATCTACCTGTTGGAACAATTAAAATGACAACATTGCAGTCAAGAAAAATATGGTCTGGTGTTACATATGCAGTTGCTGTAACGATGATCGTGGAGATTTGGTCAATATGGGATTTCAAATTGCCATTGAAATCTATGAAGCAGCATGGTCTGAAAATGCACTCGTGTAAGAACCCCTAAGTTTATTTAAAGTTGTTATCTTATAGCTTAGTTAATAGGTTGTTAACTAAGGTATGAGTTTGTGCTTTTTAGATCTAAATCTATCTCAAATCTGTATAGATTTCATTTCATCATCTGTTTTGTCAGTTTTTTTTTTTTTTTGGGTGGATGTACCGTTTTACCATTTTCTAGTAGATTCTTGATGTTGTGAAATGTTGGACAAAACTGTGGTAGTTATAATGTCTAGTAGATAATATTTTTGCTGCTTAGGTGATGGAGGGGGAGACGAATATCATAGATAGATAATATAGTATTCTATATAGGGTGATAGAGAGAAATTAATAGGTTAAGAGGGGAAATCCAGAAAGGGATACCAAGGACTCAATTACTCGATCCTAAAATGTAGAAGATAAGGACTAAATACCCATTTGCATCCTTCCTTTATGTCCTGCATTGTCAGGTTACTACCTTTAGGATAAATTTCTGCCAACTACAATTGGAAACTTTACATTCTGCATAATTTACACTGAAAAATATCTGCTCCAGAACTATTTGTTCCTGATAATTGACTGACTCGTTGTTTTCTGCGTAGTTATTTTTGCTAAATTCTGAAGCTTGGACCACCATTGATTGTTTTAGAGCGCTAAATTACATGCATTCATTGGCCATATGGGCAATGGACTCTTACAATGCCAAAACCTTGTAGGAATGGAATGAAACCAACGATAAATGAAGAATGTCTGAATAGATATCATGCAGGATTCTGCAAAGTTCCTCACCGCCTAAAGGTATCAGATGAGAAAACACTTAAAGGTTTTTTTACAGTCATTCTTGTATTACACTTGCAAAAAGATGTAATATTAATTTATTATTTTTTAATTTTATTTTTTTTCGTGCTATGCCATGTAGGCCCATGGCACGGCCCACATATTTTCGTGTGGGGCTGTGCTGTGCTTTTTTTCATGCCGTGCCTTATCGTGCCATGCTTTTTTGTGTCAGGCCGTGTCGTGCCATGGGTTGACCCGACCCACCGTCGGCTCTAATCACCCATAGACTTATTATATGCATATTTCCATTTGAATTTATGATATGCATTATTTTGTTTTCAGAAAAAGGATTTGGTAATAGAAAGTTTTCTTACAAAGAAAAATATGAAATACTATAATAAAATGAATAATTATAACATAAAAGAAAAATCTATTTACTTTTGTCTTGTTTCTATTTTTGTTATTATATATTTAGTTTATGGTATCAGATCATTTATCAATTATTAGTTTTAATGTATCATAAATGAACTAATAAAGTAAACAGTTAATAATAATAGTTTCAGTACCATATATTAGACATTAAAAATACAGAATCAGAGAAAATGTATAATATATCTCTAGTTTATTAATATCAGTTTATAAGAAATAATTAAAATAATTGTACCATAATCACATAGACATTATTTTCAAAAATATATAAGTAAAGAAAAAATGTTTTACAAAATCATCTATTCAGTGAGTATTTTTGGGTCATCACAGGATCGTGGTGAACAATGATTTCATTTGAGGTTGGGTTCATGCGACAGTTTCATTTTGCATGCCATGCCGCATGTAATGATGTAAACTGCATGAGGATTATCACCCATAGACTTATTATATGCATATTTCCATTTGATTTTATGATATGTACCATTTTGTTTTCAGAAAAAGGATTTGGTACTAAAGAGTTTTCTTTCAAAGAAAAATATGAAATACTATAATAAAATGAATAATTATAACATAAAAGAAACAATTATTTACCTATTGTCTTGTTTCTATTTTTGTTATTATATATTTGTCAAGAAAATATAAGTCCTAATTAATAAATATATTTCGTAAATAATTAGACAATTTTGTTTACTACCCTGTCACCTCTGAGGTTTGGAAACTAATAATTCTACCGCTAATGGAGTTTTGTTCCAATTAATGATGGTGCAAAGGATTAGAAAGACATTTTTAATAGACGGTTAGCCTTTTTTATATCCGAGTAATACAACAATACCAAAATAATTTGCCTTCTTTTCAAAATGGATACTATGTAAGATAATTTTCCTGATAAATTTAGGATCTTAATTTACTTTATTTTCTTATTTTATTTTACTTGTTTTCTCTATTTTTTTTCCTTATGTTATGCCAAAGGAAAATAGGACTAGCTAATTTTATGTAACGCCCATACCGAGGTACGTAGCTTTGCTTATGCCCTTATACCCTTAGTTGAATTTTCTTAAAGTTATGTTAACCAAGTGTGAAGAAAATGCCTTAAAATTTCATTAGGGGTAAAATGGTATTTTCACTCATAATTAGTTGAAAAAGTGAGAAGTGAAAAGTGATAGAATTTAATGGAGAATGCAATAAAATGAGGGCATTATGGTAATTGACTAAAGGACATAGATGGAATTTCATAGAAAGTGAAAGGGTAAAATGGGAAACTATAAATAATATTTTGTTATATTAAGAGTTGAAGAATGAAACCCTAGCAATTTCTTCTCCTCCATTCACACCACTTACCACCCAAGTTCTCTCAAATTTCTTGAATCATTTTTTAGGGAAATTCATAGATCTTAGTTTATTTTTAGTGGAATTTCAATCTCAAGCATCCTTAGGTAAGATCCTTGCACTAAGATGTGAGATTTAATTTTTAAAGTGTTGAATTCTTATGATTTGTGTTCATAGGAGTTAAGAGAAAAGGAGTTATGTCAAGGAAGACTACTAAAGTGTTGGATTGCTCACATCTAAGTTAAGTAAATCCAACCCTAGATATGATTGGAATAATATTGTGTAGACAATTTCTTTTATGCATGTATGTGCTTATAAATGAAGAATTGTTGATGGAATGGACGTTGAATGATGGTTAGAATTTATCCATGATAAGTAGTGTTTGTGTACTTGATGTTTAATAAGAGTTTGGATGAATTATGGAAGAATTGGAGTAGAATTTATGGAGTGTGAATCCTGGACAGGTTTGATGTTAATCTTGGTGTGTTTTAGTCCAACTTTTGGTGGCTTAGAAGAGAGGTAGAAGTGTAACCAAATTAGAGTTGATGTGTACATATAAATTGTTTGATGAAATGTCAAAGAGAAGTGCATGTATGAGTATGATTATTTTTTATTTTGATATGAGTTTGTAGATTTTATAGAATGACATGTTTACATTCCATATTGCATTATTGCATCCAAACATGTGAATTTAGAAAGAATAATAAACATGAGCCCATCTACATGCATACATACTCATAAGAGCATTAAAGAGCAATATTGAACATTAAAGTTAAAGAACAAATAGAAAGAAATGAGAAATATTAAAGAAGTTCAAATCTGAAATTTTATTTAAAGAAGTGTAAAAAGATAAAAGAAGAGAAGGTTGTTGTGATGGGGAACCCGTGAGTGACATAGCCCCGCATGCATGATGCGTTTAGTGAGTGGCCTCAGAATTAGTAAAAAGAATTGTACAGTCCGTTAGAAGTGCATGTGGATGAGGACTGTACCCAGAATTAAAGAATACACTCACATGACTAGGGTTCCAAATTCATGCCTCAACCGAGTCCGATCGGCAAGAAAGAAAGAATAGAAAGAAAAGAATAGAAAGAAAGAAAGAATATAAAGAGAAGAATAGAAAGAAAGAATGAATAGAAAAGAAAGAATGAATAGAAAGAAAGAAAGACTAGGAAAGAAAGAAATACAAAGAAAACAAACAGAAAACAAAATAAGAAAAATAGAAAAACAGAAAAGAAAATGCACATCTTATGCATTTGTGCATTTGCATCATACCTATGCACGATACCATGCCTACTATAATGAGTATTGAGAAATAAGAATAGAGAAAGAACAGAGAAGTGTGATGTAAGGAAAGAAATTCAGAATGTGAACAACGGAGAGAGAAGAGTAGCATAGCAGGTTTACTTACTGAGCAATTAGTGCTCACCCCGTTGTTTTCAATGTTTTTGTAGGTAGTAGGTAAAATGTGGTCGCTTGGCACGTCAAGAAGCAGAAGGGTTTGGCAACACTGTCGAGTGATGTTTTGTGACTTTATTATATTATATAAGGATTTGTATATAAAGAAAAATTAGTTATGGGCCCATTATTTTATACTCATCTACATATATATTTTCTTATATATATTTACTGAGTTTTACTGTTATTTTACGAGTATACTAGCTAAAGAAAGAGTATTACATTTTTGGTATCATAGCAAAGGTTTTAGAATTTGACAGTGTGTCTCTCCAGCTGCATTGACGTTCGGTAGTCGACCGTTGTAAGTTATTTCTTTCCTTACTTGTAGTAGATGAGTTAATTGAGTTGACTAAAAGTGTTGGTGTTATGTAGATGAGACGTAGAACTCGAGCAGGCAATAAGAAGGCAATGAGTACGGGTGAACCTTGCAACCCTTCAAAATCACTGTAGTTACTGGTAATAAGAAGGCAACACCTGCTCGAGTGTTTACAGTAGCTCAAAGTGAAGCTAAAGCTAGCCCATCCATAGTTACTGGTTAGTTATTATTTCACTCAGTTCCCCTTTATGCATTAATTGATTCTAAAGCCACACATTCATTTATTACACATTCATTTTAGAGAGATTAGGTTTGAAACCTATTATAGCGGATTGTCCCATTAAGATAGAGTTACCAGATGGTGTTATTGTGGTAACTCAAGAGATGCTTCCAGGGGAGTCCATAGTGATCCATGGAAAAAAGTTGCTAGTGGATTTGATAGTGTTTGATATGCCCGATTTTGATGTTATTTTGGGCATAGATGTCCTTGGGAGATTTGGAGTAGAGATTGATTGTTGGAAGAAGAAAGCAAGATTTAATCTTGATGATGGTGATAATTTTAATTTTGGCGAGGGTCACCAACGTAGTATGTTAATTAGCAGTGTAAACGCCAGAAAGATGCTAAGAAAAGGGTGCTCGGGGTATATTGCTCATGTAGTGCACATTAATGATGTCCCACAACCAAAGATTCAGAATGTGCCAGTAGTCTGGGAGTTTT